ATTATTTAATCTTATTTATTACTTTTTCAGTTATTAAAAACATCGGTTGGTTATATATCGTTTTTACTTGCAATACGAGATTGAAATTTAAAAATTAGAATACGTTCTTGATTGTAATAATTAAATGAAGAACTTTATATATATATATAATTAAAAAATTTTTAAATAAAATTTAATAATTATATATTTACAATTAAATTATAATCAGAAAGATGTATTATTTGTATTATTATTTTGTATTATTTGTTTTAACGTTTATCATATTCTTATTCTCAATTACAACATTATAAACTTTTATGTAATTACAATTATTTCTTATTTCTTGATTTCTATTCATTGAATTCGTTTGCATTAACATCGAGTCATGTATTTGCATTTTGTAATGTTGTATAAATGGAATAAATTAAAACAAGAAAAATAATAAAATAAATATGTTTTTTTAATCATATTACATATTAAAAAATTTATTATTTTTAAAATAACAACAATTAATTAAATATATATAAATAAATTAAATAAAAAAACATCTCAAAATTTGTAATATTGTAAATTAATTATGAATATTAATGTAACTTACACAAACAATATTAAACAGACAAAATATAACTTCATAAACGTTTTTGTTACGTATGGCAGATATTGTATTCCATGATCGTATCGTTATTACACGAAAGAAAATTATAATAAAATTTCAGAATATGCATAGAGAGATGTATTTTATAGAATCTTTTTCAATATATCGTCTTTCTTCAACGAAAATTTTTCTTATGTTCCTCTGAATACATTTACAGAGATTAATTAAAAATTTAACGCACATTATTATCATTGGCTACGTAAGGTGGCTATGTAAGGTAATATAAAGCATGGTAAAATATAAAGTTGAGAAAACTTATATAACAAGTTCGATACACTTGCTATATATAACAAAAATAGATCTATTTTTTTATTAATATACCTGTATTCGCATTTCTTGTGATAATTTTTTATGTCCGCGTAAAGTTTTTTTTATAAATAATAAATGTACTTTCAAGTTGTAACAACTTTTGTAATATTTAATGCATTTCTCGACAAAATAGTCGTTTCTTGCACTTACATCACGAACATGCGTGAGCGAATCATTATCTTACGCAGCGAAATTTCAAACAGTAAATTTCTTCGTATCAGTATTAGTTATCAACATGAACGTTACTAAACATACAGGTTATAAAGGTATTTAGTGTTTATAATATATTTTGAATAAATAAAAGTATCTTTATAAAAACCTTTTAAATTATTAAAGTACATCAACAACTTATTACATATATTAAAAATTATAAAAATAAGAAATTGTTACATCATAATGTATATTAATTTGTAGACATATATAGATAATGTAAACATGATGATGTAGACATAAAATTACAAAATTTTTAACTCATAAATAATTATTAACTATAAAAAGGTATAGATTATCATATCATTCAAAAAGATTTTTAAAGATTTTAAACTAATTTCCCGAATTTTAAAAATATTGTCAATATTTAATAAAATATGCAAAATATATTCAATTTAACATTATCATTTTAACAAATATTTTAATTTTTTAATATTGAAACATTACTAGATTTTATATGGGCAGTGGAATTAAATCGATTTGGTTTGAGATTAATCGGTTTATGGCCCAATATTAACAAAACTATTAAAAATACTTTCATTTCCGATCTTCGTGTAAGCATCATCTTCTTTATAATAACTTTTCTGTCCATTATTCCTCTTTTATGTTCTCTTATACAAGTTTGGGGTGACATGATATTGATAGTAGACAATCTTCAAGTTACTTTACCTTTAGCTATAATTTCGTTGAAACTTGTCATTATGCGATGGAAACGTACAGGTATGTTTAAAATGATTTATTTTCTGTTTTCTTGCCAAAAATTATTTTATTGTTTTGGATATCTAAACTTTATTTTGGCGATGTATGTTGAGATTAATAATAAAATAATAAACATACTGATAAAGTTCTTTAAAAAGAAAAAAAGGTCAAAAAAAACAAGCACAAAAAATATAAAAGTTTCAGATAAAGTTAATAAGCAATATATTATAATAAAATCGCATAAGAAAGAAGTTGACAATACATTAACATTAAACGTTTCGGGCTACACTGAGTTTTCTTCAGTAATCAATCAAAGCAATGTGGTAAATAAATATGTGCGGTATAAAAAAACACTGATCCGTAACAGACACATCTCATTGGGATCGACAACGTCTTTGCAATCGACACACAGTCGTCACATGATAAAAATCTTGACAATTATTCATTTATAGGCGAAAATAAGTCCACAGAGAATTTTTTTATTTGGGTTATTATTTTTCATGGAGGTTCTCAAAAAAAGTCTTGATATTGAAGTAGAAGATCGGAAATAACATTGAAGTGTGAATCTAAGTAAAAAAAGATTATATTAAAAGTAAATAGTAAAAAATAAAGAACTAAAGCGATAACAAAAAATAAAGAATTCAAACCATCCATAAAATCAGTTCCATTTTCAATTTAATTAATAGAGCGATGCTTTTTACTCATCCTTGTTTTTACAAAAAAATTTAGGATTATGTATCAACATTCTGATAGATAGATGGTTATCCGTTTAAAATCATCTTCAGTAAAATAAATCAGAGACTAAAAACTTTGTTTAATGGCAGAGAAAAAAAAGAGGTATGGAGAAGGAAAGCACATCTCCCAAAGATTCTATGTGTAGAAAGAAGAAAAAGTTTTTTGTCGTTCCTTATCTGAAGGGAATCTCTGAACTTGCTGTTTTAGCGATACAGAAATCATAGGATACAGAGTGATCAACAATCTTAGTAAATTCATAAAAGTCCACAAAGATGTTGATCAAAGAGTGAATTAATGAATAACAATATTGTATATAAGATTAATTGTATGGATTGTGAGGCTTCATATGTTGGACAGACCAAAAGATTGTTAAAAACTAGAATTAAAGAACAAAGAAGTGTATAATATAAAATCGGAACCATTAAAACATTCGATCATCTCTAAACACATTGTTAATAAAAATCATAAATTTGATTGGAATAATGTTGAAATACTCAATATTGAATCTAACTATCATAAAAGATTAATTTCAGAGATGATACATATTAAAGAACAAAAGATAGACATCAACAAGGACATCGAATTACTTATGATTTCTATTTTGATATACTTGTTGATCTTTCAAATAGATAAACAAAATCTCCTTCCCCTTTACTTCCTTTCTCTCAGTTTGTTCCTTTCTTTTATCTTTTGTTGCCTTATTGTCTGTCCATTCTAAAATCAAGCATCAATTTCGGTTTGTCACTGACATTTGCTGTTTGGATTGCATCTCATTGCGATTGAGGCATAGCCTTTTACAATTGACGAAACCATTTTAACATACTGAGTAAGTTGAGTTATAAAAAAAGACAACATATTGTTCCCACTTAATCGCTTTAGTTCTTTATTTTTTATTATTTACTTTTAATTTAATCCGTTTTACTTTAGACTCATATTATCAAGACTCATGTTATTTCCGATCGTCTATGTCGATATCAAAACTTTTTTTTTGAGAACCTCCATAACTTCAAATAAAAAAAATTCTCTGTGGACTCAACTTATTCTCGCCTATAAACGATGAATAATTGTCAAAATTTTTATCATGTGACGACTGTGTGTCGATTGCAAAGACGTTGTCGATCCCGGTGAACTGTGTCTGTTACAGATCAATATCTTTTTATATAAGCATATTTATTTACTTTGATTGATTACTGAAGAAGGCTCAGTATAGCCCGAAACGTTTAAGGCCCCTAGTCACCGCGGCTATATTGGAATCGTGACGTTATAGGCGAGAAATGACACAATAAAGTTTATGACGGTAATTTTGCAAATAAAGAGATGACCAAAATAACCACCACGGCGATGATCAAAATAACCACCACGGCGATGACCAAAATAACCATCACGGCGATTTGACTAAAATAACATCTGATATGGCTTTAAGACACTTGTGAAAATGCGTGGCTGCTATCCTTTCCCTTCCTAGGACTATGATAATTTTAGCTGCCGCTCATTTTTACAACTTTGGTAAATACGAAACAAGTCATATATGTACGATTAAGCACACAATAACGAAAATAGTCGTTATAAAAAATTTTAATGTTCGCATGTCACTTGTATAAAAATGAACAAGGACAAGGATAAGATGAACAGAGATGTATGAGCTTCTATTTTCCCTCGCTATGTCGCTATCGTCAACGCAGAATTCTTCGCCGAGTAGTCAGGAGCCTTAATATTAATGTATTGTCAACTTTTTTCTTATGCGGTTTTATTACAATATATTGTTTACTAACTTTACAATATATTGCTTACTCTGAAATTTTTATATTCTTTATGCTCGTTTTTTAGCCTTTTTTCTTTTTAATGTTATATAATTATACGAGCTCTTACATATCAATTATATTTAAAGTTCTTTAATCTATTGAGAAATAGATAATTTATAATTGTAAAACTTTTTAGACGTAGGTTCATATTTTCATATAATTGATATAAGTTCATATTTTTAAGCTGTTTCAGTTATTGTAAAGATGATGGCAGAAGACTGGATGGAATTAAAGATTGACGCAGAAAGGAACGTGATGCTGAGACAGGCGCGTACTGCGCGATTGATCGTAACCTGTGGATACATTTTGATGATATTTATGTTTAGTTTTCTTATCATTCTTCCTTCTTTTGGTTTACATTTCAGATATATAGCAAATTTTACGAATCAGGAGAGACTATTGCCGTTTCAGGCGTATTACTTTTGCGACATAAATAGGAGTCCGCAATTTGAACTCGCGCTTATGGCTCAAACTGTGACGATATTTGTAGGAACAATAATTTATACATCGGTAGATGCCTTTTTTGGTCTCGCAGTTCTTCACGTTTGTGGTCAGCTGGAAAACTTTAAATATCGATTAATCAATTTGGCGTCCTCTCGAGACTTCGCTCACGCTCTGCGTAACAACATACGAACACATTTACGGCTAATAAGGTGTCTGTATGAGTTTTTATTATCACAATAGAAAAGAGATACATAATGTTACAAATTAAAATAAAAAAGCAAAATTTGATATATTTAGATATAATAAAAAATAAATCTTAAATAGCACATATATTGTACATTCAACATAAATATATAAATGTAAATATTATGTTTATTTGCAACCATCATAATATTAAATTTGATATAGTTTACTTTTAAACGCATGTATATTTGATGTATATTTGATTTTCTTCACTTTAACCTAACCTTTTTAAGTTTTTATTTAAATTTATAGATTTGCCGATAATATCAAAGATATATTTACCTTTATGATGTTAGGATTAGTTTTCTATTTTGGTATAGTATTTTGTCTATATGGGTTTGTATTAGTCACTGTAAGTATTAGTGAAAACAGCAATTAAATATGTATTTAATATGCAAAATAATTATATATTTAAATAAAAAATTAATTTTTATTAATTAGCAAGATCTATTATTCAGGTGATTACTGGGGACGATATTAATCATATGTCTGTTCCGCGAGTATGCTATATGATAATTGGAGTTTTTACACTATTGTCATATACATTTCTCTATTGCGGTGCAGGAGAGATTTTAGCGGGACATGTAAGTTGTAATATGTGTA